TATATATACCTCCTCTTTCTCCTCTTCATCTGTTTCTCCATCAACTGTGATAGGAAATACGCTATGCATGGCCATGCAACAGTTGGTGGAAGAATATGACAGATTTTTGAGCTCTTTAAGATCAGTTTCAGAGAAAGCTCGGGACAATTTACGTACTACTGAATCTTGTGATGATATTGAGAGTGATGATGTTGATCTTGAGAACTGTTTTGGTACGTGAAATATGAAATCTGGTTCTGGGGATGAGTGTGGAGATGACCATGAATGCTTCAGTAATTGACTTGAAGAGCTTCGAAGTAGCATTTTTGTATATGAAAATCAGAATATATTGAGTGTTGTTTTGAACTTTTATAGAGAAAAGAATAGTGGTTTTATATATGCCAAATTTATATTTTAACCCCACATTTTTCCATCAAGTACCTTCCCGTGCAATTTTACATGACATCACCTGATTTGGTTTTGAGGTACATGTATCTTAATACTCCTGCCGCTTTAATTTAGATAAGGTAGTTTGACTCTGCACGAAGGTTAAGAAAAGAAAAAAAAACTTTGTGGGACTATGGCATTTGTGTGGTTATAAAAGCTTCTCATTAGGGGTAAAATGAAAAAAAAATAAAAGTTTAAAAAGTTGAATTATTTTCAAATTGAAAATGTGTTATTTATTTTGGAACAGACTAAAAAGGAAAATACCTCATCTAATTTGAAACGGAAGGAATATTTGTTTAATATATTTATCGAGGAGAAACTTAAAAAGAAATTGTTGATTTGAAACAAAAATTATATACTCCATTGTTAAAATTTTATTTCCTCGTTATGATTTGTAAGGTAAGCTAGGTCTTCAAAGCTGAGGTACAATATTGCCTGATAATTCATTAGCTTAAGAGCAATGTTTCTCCAAAGAAATTAATTGAAATTACATTAAAAAATAAATTGCCATACGTGAAATTTAATTAAAGCTACAAATTGAGAAGCAAATTGTATCAGTGCAAATGATGAAATTTGATTTCCACCAACAAATTTTTAAATTTCATGAATTATTTTTCTAAATAAAGTAGATATCAAACACAAGTTTATTAATTATCAAATTAAATAAGTACTTCTTTCCAATTTTCTTCAAATATCTTGTCAGTCGAATGCTCTGCGGAATCTCTTCAATCTCGGAATACAATATTACGTTCTTGACACAAATTATAGATGATGTAACAAGAATATAAAATTATTGATACTAGAGATATAGTAGTATGGAAAAGATAAAATCGTTTTAAGTATTAACAAAATTGGAAAAAAACTCGAAATGCTCCTTCTTTCAAAGGGAGGAGGTTGAGTTACTCATATTCAGAGGCAGTTTAGGATTTGAAGGTGGGGTGCCATAATTTCCTTTAATGTATTCGTTGTAATGACTAATACGAAATTTGTTAGGAACGTTTATTCGGTTTTCTTGAGTTTAATCGGCTCAACCTAACCGGTTTTTTTTATTTGTAAATATAAAAATTACATCTCAAATATAAAAAAAATAATTAGCATTTTAAATAAGGAATCACACCTTTATTATAGCAACACAAGTAAAATTAACATTTTTACTAGGAAATTACATCTTTTCTGTATATTAAAAATAAATTTACACAAGTAAGATGACATCTTCAATAAGAGAATTACATCAATCAAAATAAGAATTTTTTTAAAAAAAAAAAATCATCGATAGATAAATTGTACCCCATACGTATAAAATTGAATTAACTACAAGTTCCCAAAAATCAAATCATAAATCTCATATTTTTTTAAGCAATGCCTACGAAATTTTCATCATAATTTAATAGTAAAGAAATTTAAATTTTATTTAATAACCATAGAATAACACAAATTATTATGATATAATAAAAAAGATAATTTTTTTATCTCAATCCAAAACTCCCATTAAGACCCAAGTTTTTTAGATTCCAAAGAAGAAAACTCATAAATTTAAGATTGAGAGGAATGCTTATTTTATATAATTTTAAAGTTGGAGTCTCTTTTTTAGTGTTCTTGCTGTAGATTACATATAAAATAATAGAATAGAGAAAAGAAAAGTATAAAAAAATAATAAAACGACAAATAGAAAATTGGAGGGTAACCAAAAAGGAAAATCACTAGGACAAAAGGAAATAAAAAGCACAAAGAAAAGGAAAACTCGAACAAGAAATTCCAACTTGAATTTTACACACGAGAAAAGCTTTCAGAAAGATCTACCAGCCATGACACCTTTGTGTAATTTACGGCTGCGAGTGGCAGGATCAGATATTTAACCTAATTTAAGAGAATTCAAACATAGGTATATAAAAAATTTATCATCTTAGCAGGTGTCATGCCACCCCTTCCTAAAGGGGTGAATCCGCCACTGCTCATATTTCATTTGATACTCATATATAGGCGAATTAAAAGCTAAGCAATAAATTACTCTTTTTTCTCCTAAGAAAAATAAAAATGTCGCACATTATTCTCGTGTTAATACCTCCTACTGTATATATTGTAAATGTAAGGAACAATGGCGATAATTAATCAAGTAGAAAAGACTCCAAACAAGTCTCCTTGTAGAGAAATTTGTTCGGTCTAGTTGGATTTTTTGGAGGTATCTAATCATTTTGCTTCGGCGTGCTTTGGTGAACCCTCTTAATTTATCGTCCAAATATTTTAAAATAATCTTTTTAGGAGGCTAACTGTACATAATTTCGGGCAGAGGAGCCTTAGAGTGACGGTAAAGTTATCTCTGTGTAACTTATAGAATATATAGGGGTTCGAGCCTTGTAAGTACTTTCTCCGGTCCAAAATAAGTGATTTTTTGGCCTTTTTCTTGTGGTCCAAAATAAGTGATTTTTTCAGATTTCAAGAATGAATTAATTATTTTTTTCATACATTGTCCTTGGAGTAAATAGTGTTGGAATGTGTGTTAGGAGTGTTTATGTGAGATAGTAAAGGTTAATATGGTCAATTTCATTGCTAATTAATGCTAAAAGGTGGATTTCTTAATTTGTGTGAAAACATCCAAAAAATCACTTATTTTGGATCGGAGGGAGTAGTCATTATAATTAATGCTTATATTAGAATAAATTGTCTACATCACACCTCTTAGGGGTGCGGGCTTCTCCAAATCCTTCATAAATGCGAGAAATTTTGACACAGACATGCTTTTTATTTTTGGGATGAAATTCAAAAATAGCAAGATTTACCAATGATAATTAAAAAATAGTCACCGTTTCAAAAGTAATAGAAATTTAACCATTTTTCATATAAAGATAATGAACGAAAATACTGTTCAAAATTCGAAAAAATATTCCAGCATAATATACTGGAGTTCCAACGTAATATACTGGTCCGGCATAATATGCTGGAAGTTCATACACAAATGCTCCAATCTCTAGTATATTATGCTGGAACTTTCTGTGTGCTGGAGTTCCAGCATAATATGCTGGAAGTTCATACACATGTACACCAATCTCCAGTATATTATGCTAGAATTTTTTATGTTGCAGCAAAAGAGTGACTATTTTTTAATTATCAATCCGAAAACTAGCTAGCCCGTGCGATTTTCACATATTTTTGCCGCTTTAATTTCAACATGACATTGTACAAAACGCCTACTAATTTGTCGGCGTCCCTGTACTTGGTTTACATACAGTGGTTGTTTCATCTGTAGGCGCCAAATCCAAATCTTCGAGTGAATTTTGGCCCACTAAAGCTATCTTCACTACTCTGCCTTTGTATTTTCAACGGTCCTAATTTGTCCAGTCACGTGACACTTCTCACGTGCCAAAATCTGCGGGCGAATTGAGAGCGAAAGCACATAATTTCAGTGGTATTTAAGGAAAATAAGAAGGACCTCAGTCATTGCTCTATTTACGGGACTACCATACCAGAGATGTTAGTGGCTGGGCTTAGCTTTCCGGTGGCCCAATATATGGAGCCCACAAGAATTGTTGTTTGAAAGTGGCGGAGCCCATGGGCCTAATTTAACGGTGAGTTTCAAGAGTGTGAGTCAAATCAAGACGTGCCTATCAATACTAGAATTGGCACTATGTGCATTATTTGAGTAACTATTTTTGGGCATGGTTGATGGCTAGATTGGTAATTTTAGAGCGCAGTTATGTATGCATTCCCCCTAGATGAGACGGCTTAGAGATTTTTACACTATAAAGCCGGCAAGAACGGTTCGGTGTATGAAGTATTCCGCATTCACGCAAAATCAAGAGAATGATCGCACCCAGTGGTGTGACGTAAACAGTCTATCATGATGAGCATTAGTGGTTGATTTCACGGCCCGAAACCGTCATCTATAAGTCACATAAAGACAACTTTACCATGAACCCTTCACATTATAAAGCCTCCCAACCAAAAAAAAAAAATCGGTATATATATATATAAAATTTATGTATATTTGCTATTTGGAAAGTGGCCAAGTATGTACTTTCCCCGAAGAGTTATATAGACCCGAATCTCTAATCACTTTGATAAAGCTTAAAAGTAAACCTAACAGTAGTTAAGATGTCACAATTCAAGTAACAACGTCATAAATTTGAATAGCACTGGCTAGAGGTTGTGATGTCCTTACGGCGTATTAATTGTGTGAGAAAATTAATAAGAAAGAGAATTTGTAATGCATCTAGCTCTAAGATGATCTTCTAAGTCATTATTCGATTAGATGTTTGCCTTAAATATAAATTCTTGAGTATTAAACTTGGCTTTTAATTTGCGTTAGGAGGGTTTTCTTACACTTTCTACAATTGAAATGAATAAAATTAAGGGAGAATGACATAGTCACTCACAAAAACAAAATTATTTATCTTTGTCTATCCACTTACTTTTCTACCCATAGTAGTTTTTGTGGGGAATTTTTCTTTAGTCTCCAATTATTTTTTATTTCTATGCTTCTTTTCTTCTTTTTTTTTCTTCTTTTTTCTTTTCTCCTTTTCTTTTTTCTCGTTTTCTTCTTATTTTTTTCTTTTTTTCTTTTCTAATTTCATTTGACTTCTTTTTTTTATATTCTTTTTCTCTTCATAATCTAATTTCATTTACCGTTTTCACTATTTTTTATTATTCTTTTTTTATACAATAAGAAAAAATAACTGATATAGTAAATATTTGTTCACCTTTTTTTAATATAACTAGTACAATATACCTTTTGTTTTTTTTTCTTTCTCATTTTTTAAATTCAATTATTAAATATAAATAATATCAGTTGTCACTTGATCTAATTCACTGAATATCACATTGACTGCTGTTGAGCACCATAAATTACATAATTGGATTCTAAGAATCAACACGTGATTGCCATGCAAACCTTGATCTCCTTCCCTATAAATATCAGTACACACTCCACCATTAGCAGTAATACAACCAATTATAGAGCAAGAAAACATAATCTACGGCAATCAAATCTCCATATATACTAGTTAGAATAAAAATGATAATAAAATATTGAAAAATGCAACAAAAGTATAAGTAGCAAAAAAGACTTCTAGTACCATGTGATACCAATATAGTATATATGTATACCAACAGTATTGAAAATTAAGAATGTAATTTGAGAATTTTTCTATATTTCTGAATGAATCATCTGTACAAAGGACACTCTATTTATACACATGTATTCCTAGAAAAGAAAACAAAAAATAAAAGAATAGCCTATTAAATTTGTACACTTGTCCTAATATTACTAGTCTATGTCTAACAAAATAACTAACTCATTATTCCTTCTTCAGATGATATATTGTGTGCATGTGAGAATCTTCCAGAAATTGAGTGCTCTTTGAACGGACCAGATTTAATCCATCAGTGCAATTTTGAACAGCTGAGATGAGGCCACGTGACATCCTATGTGGCTTATTAGAGTCAAAGTTAAGACTATGTCTTAACTTAGTTTTGTCCGCTATTTGTTCATTTCTGAGCTTCAACCTTAGCTCTTCTTCTTCATCATTTATCTTCTGTAAATCATTTTCTTCTTCAAAATCTTTCTTCTCACAAAACTTAGATCGATGTATTCCAACATCCCCCGTCAAGTTGGAGGGGGTAGAAGACACCCCCAACTTGCCAAGAATCGTTTTCTGAGCAGGCCCTGGTAAGGGTTTGGTGAATAAGTCAGCAAGTTGCAATTTTGAGGGAATAAAAGAAAGAGAGATGAGACCGGAGAGAAATTGTTGCCGCACAAAGTGGCAATCGAGTTCGAAGTGTTTAGTCCTTTCGTGAAACACGGGACTCCGGGCGATATGGATGGCAGCTTGACTATCAGAGAAAATGGGAACCGAAATCGGAGGAGGAACTGAGAGATCTGTGAGCAAACGAGTTAACCAGGTGAGTTCTGCAACCAGACGTTGCATGGAGCGATATTCCGCTTCTGCGGAAGATAGAGAGACAGAAGCTTGTTTCTTAGATTTCCAAGACACAGGAGAACCACCTAAACTGATAAAGAAACCACTAACGGACCGGCGACTATCCCGGCAAGAGGCCCAATCTGCATCGCAAAAAGCCAAGAGGTCAAAAGAGGGATGAGCATTGAGAAATAGTCCTTGGACTGAGCTGGAGCTAATGTAACGAAGAACACGCAAGGCAGCAGTGAAATGACCAATGCAAGGGCGTTGCATGAACTGGCTGAGAGTGAGAACGGAAAAGGAGAGATCTGGGCGTGTGTGAGTCAAATAGTTGAGTTTACCCACCAAACGATGATAAAGAGAAACATCAGTCAATGGAGAACCAGAATCAGCAACTAATTTGGAAGATGGATCCAGGGTGAAGAAACTGAAAGGAGATTGGAGCAGTCAAACTCGTGGAGCAAATCAATGGTAAATTTCCTTTGAGTAATAATCATACCCTTTTGTTCTCGCAAAATTTCCATTCCTAAAAAGAAGTGGCCCGAGATCCTTCATTTTGAACTCTGAATGCAAGAATTCTTTGAGGTCTGTTAATTCAGCAATGTTATCCCCTATAAGCAGTATATCGTCGACATAGACTGCAACAATAGAAATGAGATGACTTGTTCGCTTAAAGAACAGAGAATAGTCACTAAGAGAAGTAGAAAAACCCTTAAAACTGAGTGCCCCGGCAATCCTGGCATACCATTGCCTGGAGGCTTGCTTCAAACCATAAAGAGACCTCTTAAGTAGACAAACATGGTTGGGACTTGGGGAAGGTAAACCGGCAAGAAACCTCATATAAACTTCTTCTTGCAACTCCCCATGTAAAAAGGCATTGCTTACATCAAATTGAGATATAGACCAACCTTTCTTGACAGCAATAGAAAGCAAACATCTGATTGTTGTCATCTTGACAACTGGAGAGAAGGTTTCTGTGTAATCAATACCTTCTCTCTGAACATCACCTCTTATAACCAATCGAGCCTTGAGTCTTTCAATAGTGCCATCAGCATTTTGTTTGACTTTATAAACCCACTTACAGGGTAATGCCTTTTTCCCAGTAGGGAGTAGAACCACATCCCAGGTAAGATTCTCTTCTAAAGCCTTAAGTTCTGAGTTCATAGCTTGCACCCAACCTGGGTTAGTACAAGCCTGAGAGTAGGAGGTGGGTTCTGTAATAGAAGAGACTGATTTGAGGAGGTGTTGGTTAGAGCTAGTGAGGGCAGAGAAAGCAAAGGGAGATGGGGAACAAGGAGAGGTGAGACAAGAAGTGGTGACATCAGTGAGAAATATGTTGTTGCAAACATAATCCTTAAGATAACTAGGTAGAGTCCCTATATTATCTCTACTGGATCTCCTAAGAGGAACAGGAGGGGAAGGAGGGATAGGTGAGGTAGAAGAAATAGGAGAGGGAGTAGTCTGGTGAGAAGAAGAACTAGGTAAAGAATCAGGTGTAGAGCAATCTTGTGGTACAGTGGAGTTATGTTGTGTGGGAGCATCAGAGGTGAAAGGAGGTATAGGGAATGTAGGACCAGGATATATAGAGGGATTATCTTGACACATATGGGAAAAGGGAAAGATGTGTTCAATGAAATGAACATCCCTGGAGACAAAGAAATTCCTGGTGGTGAGGTTCAATAATTTATATCCTTTTTGACCATTAGGATATCCCACGAATACACATGTTGTGGCCCTAGGATCAAACTTCCCTCTGTTGTGTGACAATGTAGAGGCATAACAAAGACAACCAAAACTTCTTAAGAAAGAATAGGAGGGTGCCTTACCAAACAGCAAATGATAGGGAGTGTGTCCTTTGAGCACTCTAGAGGGAAATTGGTTGATGAGAAATGTTGTTGTTAGAATGCATTCTCCCCAATAACAAAGAGGCACCTTGGATTGAAAAAGTAGAGCTCTAGCAATTTCTAATAAATGTCTATGTTTCCTCTCCACAATCCCATTTTGCTGAGGAGTTCCCACACATGAAGTCTGATGTAAAATGCCTTGTGATAATAAGAACAAGGAAGCTGCAGTGCTGCTTCCCAACTCCAAAGCATTATCTGACCTGATAACCTTGACCTTAGTGTTAAATTGTCTGTCCACCATGCTCAAAAAATATTTTAGAACTGAAAATGCACTACCCTTTGTGCTCAGTAGATAAGTCCAAGTTGCTCTACTAAAATCATCCACAATAGTGAGAAAATACTTGTATCCATTATGAGTAGAAGTCCTATAAGGACCCCATGTGTCAATGTGTATTCATTCAAAAGGTTGCTTAGTTTTGATATGACTGAGTGAAAATGGTAATCTAGACTGTCTTGCTAATGGGCAAACATCACAATGACACACAGAATCAGAAACAAATGAAATGGAACTGATATATTTCATTGCATTGAAAGGCAAATGCCCGGATCTTACATGCCAGAGTTTTACATCAGATTCTATTTTTGCTAAAATAGGAAAAGGAAAAGAAGCTGAAACTGAATTAGAAAAAGTTGCAGGCAACAATCTATTAGCTGAAACTGAATTAGAAAAAGATGTAACAGTTTTAGAAGACAAAGTTCTAGGTTCTGTGACACTAGGCTCCAATAAGTAAAGTCCCTCCTTAGCTTCACCAAAAACTTGAGGGCTCTTCATGAGAGGGCCCTGCAAAATACATCCAAAAGAAGTGAAAACTAAGAGACATTTGAATCTTTGACAAAGCCTACAAACTGAGATAAGTTATACTTGAAACTAGGAATATGAAGAACGTTTTTCAGAACTAGACTTGGAAAGATAGAAACACTACCAGCATGAGTGACCTTTACCCTAGAAGAATTAGGTAGCTTTACCATTAGAGGAAAAGGTAATGGTACTAAGAATAAGAATGTGTTGGCATTAAAACACATATGCTCAGTTGCACCTGAATCTATAGTCCAGGAGTTGGAAAGATTAGAATTAGAAACTGAATAACAGGATGGAGAATTAGTAAACAATATACCAGAAGCAGAATTTGCATTAACCTCTTGAGAAGCTCCCTGTCCTGTTTGTAGTTGATTCAGCAGATTAACTAATTGACTGAACTGATCAGATGAGAGCTTCTGAGAAAATTGAGGTCCTTCTGCCATGTTGCTACGAATTTCCCCTGTATCTTCTACTACAGTGGCTGAATTTCCTTTTGGAGGATTTTGAACCCTTTTGTTTTTAGTAAATTTGAAATCAGCAGGAAATCCCACAAGTCTGTAACAGTTATCAATTGTGTGATTAGTCATCTTACAATAGGAGCACATCTGTGTGTTTTTCTTTCCTTTGTGTGCAAGATTTCCTTTATAAGGAGTATTTCCATTCTTCTGTTGAGGGAAATGAGATGGTGCGGGGTTCTGATAACTCTGAGGTCCTTGATTCTTCACCATGAAAGAAACACCATCTGTTGGAAATTGGGAACTGACATGGATTTCCCTTTGATTCTCATCTTGCATGAGAAGTGAGTAAGCTTGATTGACTGAAGGTAGAGGTTTAACCATGAGTATGTTGCTCCAAGCCAATCCATATGTTTCATTCAAGCCCATGAGGAACTGAATAAGCCTCTCATCTTCCTTAAATTGCTGCATTTTCTTCTTTCCACCACAATCACAGTTGCATGAGCACTGCATATCAGAGTTGAGAGTGTCCAATTCATCCCATCGTCGCTTCATTCTAGTGAAATAAGTAGCAATGTCAGCTGTCCCTTGTACTAAATCAGCAAGTTCCTTTTGCAGGTGGTATAGCTTGGATTCATTAGGTTGCCCAAACCTGTGCTCCAGATCTAACCAAAGATCCTTAGCAGTTTTTGAGTACAAAACACTGTCAGCAATGACTTTGGTGAGGGAATTCAACAGCCAAGAGGTCACCATGTGGTTGCATCTGCTCCAGGTTGGATGAGTAGGGTCTGTAGAAGATGTCATAGGGCATGAACCATCAATGAAGCCCAATTTATTCTTAGCTGACAGTGAGATCAAAATGGATCTGCTCCAACCAGCATAGCCACGACCATCAAATGGTGTGTTCACCAGTATCATACCTGGTGCATCAGAAGCATGAAGGAAGTAAGGGTGAGTGGAATCAATGGTGTTTCCATTGCCTGATGTTGTTGAAGATGAGGTGTGTGTAAGTGGAGTTTCAGTGACGTCTGAGGCAGGAGCCATGATTGAAGCAGAAAATCAGAAAATCTGAAGAAAAGGAAAAGAAGAAGACGAGGAAGCAGAGCTACTGTTTTGATACCATATTGAAAATTAAGAATGTAATTTGAGAAATTTTCTGTATTTCTGAATGACTCATCTGTACAAAGGACACTCTATTTATACACATGTATTCCTAGAAAAGAAAACAAAAAATAAAAGAATAGCCTATTAAATTTGTACACTTGTCCTAATATTACTAGTCTATGTCTAACAAAATAACTAACTCATTATTCCTTCTTCAGATGACATATTGTGTGCATGTGAGAATCTTCCAGAAATTGAGTGCTCTTTGAACGGACCAGATTTAATCCATCAGTGCAATTTTGAACAGCTGAGATGAGGCCACGTGGCATCCTATGTGGCTTATTTGAGTCAAAGTTAAGACTATGTCTTAACTTAGTTTTGTCCGCTATTTGTTCATTTCTGAGCTTCAACCTTAGCTCTTCTTCTTCGTCATTTATCTTCTGTAAATCATTTTCTTCTTCAAAATCTTTCTTCTCACGAAACTTAGATTGATGTATTCCAACATCTGTTGGATGTTGTGCCTTCAGAAACACCAGGCGTGACAATTCTTATAAGCGTTACCCGTAAGAGTGTTACTTCAATCTTATAGTGCTTTCACGATACACTTTGGTCAGTTGTTCTAATTTTTGTCGCATATTATATGGAGTAGAACGTTTAGTATGATCATGCTCTTTTCTGTACAGAGTATTTGTTCAGCTTTTGTTGGACTAGTTGATTACTTTGGCCGTTTGTTGTGTTGGAGACGGATAGAGACATGCCAATTGACGATACTACCTACCATTTACAATTTGCTTTAGTATGGCTGAGTTTTCTTTTCTACATATCTAATTTGAAGGAAAGTTCCTCTTAGAATATTTTTCGTGAATTGCTTTGTTCTATCTGCATTTGGGACGTTTTGTGGGGCTGGAACTAGACCAATCTAGTTTCGGGTAGATCTCGGTTTTCGACTATACTATATATTTTTTGTTTTAATACTTCAATAATTTAATTTAGAACATAATAAAAGTTAGAGAAATTTTCACAAACCACTATTGTTTAGTAGTTATTAGCTAGCTATAGCTATCAATTACTAAATTACTTTCTATAGCTATGTTTATAGTTGTTATAGAGTGTATACCATGCATTTAAGCTACTTTATTCATGAATACAGTAGCAAAACTCGGCTTGAAACAGGGGAGTCTAGCTAAGCAACGGTTGTATTCGATTATATTCGACTGTATTCGCGAGCTGTATTTGTGAATACAGTAACGTAAACTGCGTAAAAAATAGTCTTTTCAGCTGTTTAAAATGGTAAGTGAATCAATAAATGTGATAAACTCCTAATATAACTCAACTAACTCAATTATAACATGCAGAATCTGTATTTCACATTAAAGAAAAGATTTCTCAGCCGAAAAAGACCACAAAACAGAGCAATCTCTAGATTTTCAATCCCTCCTTTTTCTGTTGCTATCGTTCTGTAGATTTCAGAACATGTACTCATTTTAGATGAATACATGTATTTGGAATACATAACATGTTCACAAGTACAATAGTGGATGCCTTGTAAATACATCTAAATATAATTAAATACATCTAAAACAAACAGTGAAAGTCACTGTAATAACTATTTATCAGTAAAATACAGATAAATACACGTATTGAAATACATAACACATTCATAAGTACAGCAGTGAAAGTCATCTAAATACATCCAAATATATCTAAATACATCTAAAAACAAATAATGAAAGTGTTGATTCTTTCGGAAATTTCTCAAACTGGGCTTGTTTCGATGTGTCATTGCGTATTTTTGTTCTCTTTTCCGCAACTGTATTTGCTGCTGAACCTGCAAATACATGTTCCACTTGAGTGATTTGCGAATCGAAAGATGGCCCTTCGAAATTGAGTGCTTTGGTCGGTATACCTCGGATAACCTTCTTGTAAGGAGTTGAATTAGCCATTGAAGAAGAAAATCCGAGTTTTCTGTAAAAGAATAACAATGGTGATTGTTTCTACAAAAAAAAACAAGTACAAATATACAGAATAATACATGTGCCAGCGAAAAACTAACAAGTTTAACACTTACCACAACTTTTTTGGGCAAACAATTTTAAAAATTGAGAGAGGGAATGGAGATGAATCAATTGATAATGGAGGTTGTATTTGTGGGGAAGATACTGGGTTGGGAGAGAGATAGTGGAGAGAGAATTTAACAAAATTGTATACAATACACTACTGGAAAATGGGACTATGGCAACAACAGGAAAACCGTTGCAATTGATAGGTAAACCGTTGCCATAGATGTATTGGAACGGTTTAGCGACCGTTGCATCCGCTCGCGTGCCAATAGATCTACAGCAACGGTTTTTGCGACGGTTGACCACACCGTTGCTATAGAGCCAGCTATCGCAACGGTTTTCCCTCTGTTTGAAGCAACGAGTATTCATTTCAATCAACGATTTAAAACCGTAACCATAGAGTTTATGCAACGGTTGTAAACTGTTACCATATAATTTACTACAATGGTTGGAAACCGTTACAATATAATTTATTGAAATGGTTACGTATGCTATTGCAATATTTATTTATAGCTATTGTAACAATATCATTACGCTACCGTAACGGTTTTATTTCTATTGCATCGGTTTGAATTGCCAATTACATCAGTTTGTCACCCTTTTTGGAACGGTTAGCAAGACCAATCGGAACGATTTAGAATGTCTATAGCAACGACATTTTTGCTTATTGCAACGGTTCTATTAGGCTATTGTAAAAGTTTAATTGACAATACTACCTGAAAATATTTGTAATTATAACCTGGAAATTATATAAATAAAAAGATAAAACACTTCATAATCTTTCATGTCCAATAAGATAAGAATAACCATAATAGCAAAATGTTTTAACCCAATCATATAAGTTTTACAGTTCAACACTTCAACAGTTAAAGTTTCAAATGTTGATAACAAAAGACTCCAAGAATATCAACAACAACTCAAAGTTCTTCTTAAGTAAGGTCTAGATCCTCACTATCTCCATCTTCCCTTTCTTTAGTTGCTCCATCTACTTAAGAGAATAAATAAAGTCATTACCTTTCGAGGGTTGGTTTACCATTATAATAAGAATGGGTATAGTAGAATTTTCTCTAATTGTAACTTTGTAAGTAGAGAATGGGTTGGTTGCATCTTCCCTTTCATTCTTCTAATTGTAACTTTGTAAGTTGAGAAAATTCCAACATTTCAGCACTTAAAACATGCAACTTTGAAGTAGACTAGACACAACATGTCATATCTCTTAAAGAATATAATTTGTTGTAATATAAAGTAGCCAAGAGATTATGTTTCCAACTCTTTTTAGGATCACATTCCCACTAGGGGCTGATTTTGTTGGTCTTTTCGATATGTTCTAGGTAAACAAAGTATTGCAAAATAGAACACGAGAATTTCCACTCGATTGTTCATTTTCTAACATCACAAGAACATGTCCAGTAAATTATTGCCCACCAGATTACAAAATCATTAACAACAAACCTGCTTCGGCCAATCATAGATGTCCAGGAGGAAAACAGGAATAACAAAAGAAATGGTCGAAAGGGCTAATTTCAGACTTGTAATTTTGAACGGAAGAGCTTATGTAGAAACATATGAGAAGGGATTTCAAACTCGAGATATTTTTATATTATGGAGCATTCTTCAGTTGTTACGAAGGTACCCTGGAAAAACTCAAAGTTACAATGAAATGTTCAAATTTTCTCTACCATGAATGATACATAAAGCACAAAGTTTCTAGGAGAAAGAAACAAGTTCACACAAATGAAGAAGCCAAAGTTTAGTAACAAATCTAAATCATCAAAACCAAACTTATAAGCATACACATTCAGGCAAAATGAGAAGTTCTTTGCTTTTCTCATTTTGAACCAACTCAAACATAAAACATAAGCAAATGAACAATCTAACAGTTTCAGTAGCCAACTAAACTAACAGTTTTCATCAACTTTTCACTTTTTTTGCAAGTAACAATCTGAAGTGGATACATTCCATGCGAAGCATACAAAAAACAGTCAAGTAAAATATATATCGAAACAGAATTTTTGCAATATTGACTTTAAAAGAACATTGCAACATAGCTCATATCAGCCAATCTTTTAGCAATTGCTTTCACGTGATCACACCAATTTGTGCTCTACTGCTTATCAAAAATATTTTCAGCTCTACTACCAAAATATTTCCCGTCAAACAATCACTATGCCTTATTAGAGAGAGCGGTGGTAGATAAGCAATAGAAGGAGAAGAAGAAGGAGAAGAAGGAGGAGGAGGAGGTAGGAGGAAGAGAATGGGTGTAACATTTGGAGTACGTACTGGCCTGATTGTTACTCCCAGTAGATAGACGATTGATTAGTTGCATAGCAGCTTGTTGTGTAGAGGAAGCTTCTTCAGGTGAACGAGCATTGAAAGTTAGCATGTTAGGATCAACCCGTAAATCTGGATTCATACGCTTAAGTTGTGAAATGATGTTAACTGCAACTTGTAGTTCCATAGCATTTTTTTGTGCATTGAACTTTTCCAGCATTCTTTTCTTTGTTGCATCCGTTCTTCCATCTCCTCCAATTTTTGCTGCATTATCTTATCAATAGAACTTGAAGATGATCCAAAATCTCCCACTTTTCTTTTGAAGGCCATTTTGGTAACCCCATGTCCATAAAATCTTAGGCGACCTGGATGCTCAGGTCCCATGATTGATGCAAATGTGTCAACTGATTGACTGCCATCTTCACTTTCTTGGGTTGATTGTATTCTTTCCATTTCAACCTACAAGACCAAATTGAGTCAATTTTAAATTAGAAAATATATAAAATTGAGTCAATAACTAAGAACAGACAATTGATATCAACAAACATTAAATTAGTAACTTGTACAATTTTATTAAGAGTATCCGCATACGAGGCCTTATATACTCGA